CAAGTAAGGTTTTTAAGGGATGAAGTTGCTAGCACAGGCCCAACCGGCTTTGTACCTGGTTTTACAGTACCCGTTGCTCCCAAGCGGTCACTCATCTAAGTACTGACCCGTTCGACACTACTTAACTTCAGTCTCGCCCTGATTTAGCTGTAACACATTAAAATGATATAGGATGATTAAATACAGAAAAATGAAACTTAAATATATTGAAATAATATTATCACGTAAATGCAATAAAATAATTCATAATTAAAATACATTCAACGTATTCTTAATGCTTAAAATAATATTTAATACATTGTAATAATACTTAATACCGATTAAAATAATATATATATATATATATAATTATTTTTATAAAAAAATTTATAACATAAGTATGTTATAAAATCACTACAAAAATAGCCATTTTGTTTCAACACACTCTGTGTCTTATCAAGTGATGGTGTTGAAAAGAAAATAAATGGTTTTAAAAGTTTCAGATGAATTAACGATCCTACACTAGGGGAAACATTGTTACAAAAGCTAGAATAACCAATCAAAACGAAGTATAGAAAGATTCAAAAAGCTTGAAAACAAAATCCTGCTATTATAGCTATTTAGATCTTTAAATACGTGTAATATTAAAAATAATTTTTACTAACTAATAATTATAAATTTATATGATAAAATTTAATATTAAAATTAAAAACTGGCAATTTTAAAATCCAAATTTAATCACTATTAAGTTTAAAAACAAAATTATTGAGAAAAAAAAAAATATATATGTTTATTCAATTCATTTCTTCATTGAAATTACGTCTGACAAGACAAAAAGCTACAATTCGTCCGGTCATCTGATAATACATGTATATATATTTTTTTTCTTTTCCGTTTTTATTTTAAAGTTTGTGAATATGGTCTTAAACTCGCGTGACACAACAAAAAACACAATCAGATTATAATACATACGCATCCAGACATAGATACAGATACACACACACACACACACACACACACACACACACACACACACACACACACAAAAAAAAAAAAAAAAAAAAAAAGAAATGGGGGGAATACATGAACAACTCCACAGCCCTTTACGAAAAAGGAGACGTGGAAACTAACACTTATACACACACACAGTTAAATGTGAATACACTCTACATACACATAGACACCGATATATACACAAACATACATCCACAATGGCATAGACATTGAGAAATCACAACCAGTAAATATTTCAGACTTAAATAAATGCTAACCACTTATTGAATTATAACAGGGAGCAAATATATAAAGATAAAAAATATTTAAAATAATATTATTTAATATATTAAAACAAAAACTCTAAAACAATAAATATCAATAAAATATATATATATTATTAATCATATAAGTTGAAGTTTCATTATATATTTAAAACAATAAATCCATAAAATAAATATATATATATATATTAATCATATAAGTAAAAAAAAATATATATAGTTTCATTTATATATTTATTATACAAATAAATATATAAAATAGGATATAAGAAAATTAAATACATACAAATTTTTATATACATATATATATATATATATATATACTAATTATGTCTGGATATGTATTATATTCCAAATTAATTTTTTACAACATGTGTGTGAGTTTAAGAAATATTAAAAATTTACTTTTTAAAATAAAAAAAAAAAAAATATATATGTATTATATATCGGACGAAATACATGTCTTGTCAGACGTAATTTCAATGAAGAAATGAATTGAATAAACATATATTTTTTTTTTTTCTCAATAATTTTGTAGTTTTTAAACTTAATAGTGATTAAATTTGATTTTTAAAATTGCCAGTTTTTAATTTTAATATTAAATTTTATCATATAAATTTATAATTATTAGTTAGTAAAAATTATTTTTAATATTACACGTATTTAAAGATCTAAATAGCTATAATAGCAGGATTTTGTTTTCAAGCTTTTGAATCTTTCTGTACTTCTGTTTTTGATTGGTTATTCTAGCTTTTTGTAACAATGCTCCCCTAGTGTAGGATCGTTAATTAATCTGAAAACTTTTAAACCATTTATTTTATTTTCAACACCATCACTTGATAAGACACAGAGTGTGTTGAAACAAAATGGCTATTTTGTAGTGATTTTATAACATACTTATGTTATAAATTTTTTTATAAAATAATTATATAAATATATATTTGTATTGATATTTTTAAGAATAGTAATTGTTGGTTATTGGAATTCATTCCGGTGTATACCAATTATATATATTGATATATATATATATATATATATATATATATATATATATATATATATATATATATATAAACATTAGAATTAAGCATGGTGGAATAGTGGATAGCAGCTCGGATTGAGGAATATTGGAGAGAGCCCAGTACGAATTCCAGTCAAATCCATTACATACTAATACCCTTGGAAAAGGTATTAATCCTCTTCTTCTCCCTACAGCTATGGATAAATAGCAGGACAGATTGGGTTCTATGCCTTGGATGGCAACTGGTCTATGAGAATTCAAAACCTGCAGAGGGTCGTTTGGGGACCTTGTGGCACATAGTTCACCAGGTCTCTGTATTCGGCCCTTCAAAAAACCTTTACCACTATAATCAAATCATATGTGCTGGTGTCTGGGCTGTCGGTTCCTCGGTGCTGAGCTACTTGACCCTCATACGTCGAATACAGTGGGAGAGCCCACCATATTAGAATAACACTTAACACATTAATATCATATCTTCTACTCAAAATAGATTAAATATATGTAATATTGAGGCATATTATAATAATAACTATTGCTTAAATACTATATTAAACAATAAATAATATTTCATGCATAAAATATATTAAAATGATAATATCACTACATTCAAATAATACGTAATATATTGTACTACATTAAAATAATGCTGAATACATTAAAATATTTCATACTTCAAATCGATTAAATATTAAACCTAATAAAATAATATTTAATAGGACAATATAAATAAAATAATATTTAATACTGAAAATAAATTAAAAATATTTAATTTTTCTTATGGCTGGTCGGTCGTATCCAAGGATGCCTGTCTACTAAGGTGACTAACCGATCCTTGATGTAGAGGTCTGCTCAGGGATATTTGTGTTTTTTCAACACCTATATAGCCCACCTGTGGTTTATATTGCAACTATGCTGAGCTGACCTTAGTTTTTGGGAGGTAGCGTGTTATCTGGCGTGATCAACAGTTTGAATAAGGCCAGTTTAGTTATGTGTCATGCGTGATACACGCTTAGGCGATCATGTATCTTTCGATACATGACTGACGAGGCAGATATTTTCCTGCAGTAGGTTGCCATTTCTTTCTGCGGTAGACCAGTTGCCATTCCAGGCTATAGAACCCGGTCTGTCCTGCTATTTAGCTGGGAGGAGAAGAAGAGGATTCATACCTTTCCTAATGGTATTAGCATGTAAGTAAATGTAATGAATTCGAATGGAATTCGAACTCGGCTCTCCGATTCCTCAGTTCGAGCCACTATCCATTACTCAGTACGCTCCCGATGTGACTTGCCACTTCGTGCTAGCTCAACAATCGACTGATCCCAAATAGTTCGGCCTGCCTAATTTCACTGAAAAGGCTTGGATCCACCCGTGGTATACTTTCAAGGTACTTTCCTAAGGTGCCGATCGCTGGGATTGCCTCTCCCAGACCAATAACATGAAGATGTCACCTTACTGACAAATCGATCATGGTGAGATTCGAACCCATGTCGAGTGGTTGGAAAGCGAACGTTAACCACTCATGCCCATCTTTAATATTTAAACTACATTAAAATTATTTAATGCATTATAATGATATTTGAAATAATTCAATACTCAATAATTAAAATATTAATTTAGAATATATTAAATATTTACAGACTTTAAAATAATACTTAAAATATTTAAATAATATATAATACTTGAATAACGTTAAAATGCTTTTTAATAGAGAAGTTACATTAAAGTACTATTTAATATGAAAAATGTATAACAATACTATTTATTACTTAAATATATTAAAATATTACTTTATAATTTAGTAGGCATCCATCTATCTCGCAAGATACAGGCAGAGCCCTGTTTGGTCAGAGTTCAGTCCGTTGGTGGTGAAACTGGAGTAATCTATCCAGGGCGCAGGTATAAGAGATGGTATATGAAGGCCGTGCGCTGCCAAGACTACAGACCTTTCACTCGGCAATACCGACAAGATCTAAAGGAATACAGGGCCTTACATTTGGGTACGGCTTGGATGCAGAAGCTTCCGGAAAATTATCACTGTTGACAGCCAACCGCCATCGTGGCTCCAATCTTAGCTTACTATTTGGATTTACTTTCATAGCCTTTTTTCCGTGTTTGGATATGACCGCAAGGCGGCGGAGGTTTAAAATCAGGGTTTTTCTTCCGCTAGATGGATTACCTTCTTGGTCTGTCGCGCTCTATAGACCTGAAGCAGCTAGTTTATCAGGTGCTAGTTTTCAGCCTTCGCCCATTTTCCGGTTTGGAGTTGGACTTATTTGTCAGTAGCTATTTGAGACGCATGCTACGGCAGTATTTTATAAACAGCGGAAGCTTTTCACCTCTATAGATTAAAATAAAAATTAATACTCAAAATACATTTTATGATAAATGCTTGCTTAAAATTAATGCCTGACAATTTTTAAAAATCACAGTTGATTCAACAACTTTTATTGCACACGAGCAAGTTTTTACATAACGCAGATTAGATGTCAGAACGGCAACAGTTCTAATGGCACCATTACTGTTTCTATTAAATATATATATATATATATATATATATATATATATATATATATAAAATATTTGTTTATTAAATCTTGTAGCATTATCATTTTGCGATCAGCTGTTTTCTGAATTGCCCACGGAAAGAATTTTTGTTCTCAGTGGGAAGACGCAGTTAAAGTGTCACAGGTTTCATGGGATCCAGTTAAGAACACACAGGTCACCGGGCAGTGGTTTCTGGCAGTTGAATATTGAAGCGTTGTAGACCAGTTGTTGTGGACGGATTGAACAGTTCTCATTGGTGAATCGACCATTGACGCATTGGTAGAAACGACGGCAGTCATGTGAATTTGGCCAACGGTGGAAAAATAAGATGTTTGGCCGGCAGAGGGAACGGTATCGCAGCTCTTCCACGCTGGGAGACGCTAGTGGGCAAAAACGAAGAAGAATATTGATTTAAGACTGAAACAGGGAGCAAATTATTATTAGTAGTGGTGAGCAGAAAAGGTTGGTCCTACGGAAGATGTACCCAATTTATTTCCAATGAAAATACGACAGATATGAGTGATGCCCGCTATTTATTTCCTTGCTGCCATGACTGGGATAGAGTTGTCCTATCCTCACTTTCCATCCTTGATACAGTTCAACATCAATCATGCTGTCTTGCAGGGGGATGATTATTTCCCACTGTACAGCCTCTTTCCCTGCAGTCGCAAAGTTACAAACCTGTCGGCATTCTGTCGCTATTTCCGTGACAAATATTTAGATGAGCAAACCTTTAGTTTCACCAGTTTACAGCTACAACTCCAATGCCTACATCTACGGAGTTGAATAACTTACGTTTTCCCCGTATTCCACTCGTAAGAAGGAAGTTCCATTGCAACTCTGGGAAAAATCCCGCAGAGATGCCTCCCTGAACACTAAAATCTTAAACATTTCAAGTCAAAGTCAATCGCTGCATATCCTTCTTAGCCTGGTAATCTTAACTTCTTTTTACCTACTTTTAAATTCATTGATTGATTTCTGCGACTTATCAACTGTAGATGGGAGACCACTACGTAATAACAGGTGCGGTAAGCATGGGTGTGCATGTGGTGTCATGGACAATGACTTGGAATTATTAACAGGACTTCCAGTTCCTGTTGGGTTCGTTATCTTCATTTACGCAGAAATAACCTTGCGAAGCTTTCTGCCTCCAGCTGTAGCTTAATTATTAAGACATGTATCATTAAGCCATTTTTATCTACCCGCTATATATTATGGCTTTGAATAGCCTGTAAAGGGTTGATGAGCCGTAAAAAACGAATTAATCTAATCAATCAACACTCTTACTCTAACCACTCATACACCAACCTTCTTCTTGAGTGACTCTTGCGCCTTGTATAGGGTGAATATTAGTATATATATATATATATATATATATATATATATATATATATAGTTGTCCAATCCTCACTTTCCAGCCTTGATACTGTTCAAAAAATATATATATATATATATATATATATATATATATATATATGTGTGTGTGTGTGTGTGTGTGTCTGTCTGTCTTGAACAATAAAAATTTTTTTAACACACTTGGTTGTATATTAATATTTTATGTTTTATTATTTAAATTAGGTTCCTCGACTAGTTTCGGCCAGCATGGCCATCATCAGGAGGAAAAAAATCCCTGCTAGTTAGTAGCAATGAACTAAGGTTCAATTTAGACAGGGTGTAAAATGAAAGTACTTTTGCTACGCCCTAATATATATAGTATATTTAGGCAGTAATCCCTCTTTTATATAAGTTTCATTAAAGACGACTGGTATGTGGATGAGATTATTATGCTTGTATTTTTTATTAGTGTCCCTGATCAAACCAAACTCATAAATAATTACATAAGTCACACTAATGCAAGCCTATCCGGACGAGCTACCACAGTTCCATTAGAACTTATTTAAACACACACATAAACTCCATCCGAAACATACTAGTAAAAAATACAAGCACAATAACCTTATCCACATGTAAAGAAAAATTTACAAATAATGAAAACCTTAATTATAAAAAAGAAAAAGCCAACACTCAATAACATTAACTAAAAACACGGCCACAATGTGCTGACGGTGTTTGGAAAAAACTTGCTTATAACTCTAGATACATATACAAAACCCATACATTCAGTTAAAAAGTAAAACGAAAATGAAAACAAAAAGGACACTTATAATTACATCAGTTGAAATGTCTAGGACATATAATGAGGAAAGAGGGCTTAGAACTTTCGATACTCATAGGGCAGATTGAAGGCAACCTACCTAGCGAACTTAAGTAAATGGATGGTGGAACAAGGCTTAAGAGAGATCAGAAAAAGACAAAACTTATTTTATTTTATTTTCTCCAAAACTTTGTTGTTGCTACAAAGGAGAGGAAATTGTGGAGAACCATGATCACCAACTTCCAGAAGGGACGTGGCACATAGAAGAACAATGTCTTCTCATTCTCTTTCATTTCTAGTAACTTCTGGGGTCTCAGTTATGTTTATCGCCTTACTTGGGGTGAAATGATAATAAAAAATGGTCTAAAATCGGTTTAATCATTTTTAGCATAGTCGTTTGTCTCTTGAAAAACTGCCACAAAGATGACGGCAATTAGTTATTGACTAGCAATATGACTCGTTGCCCGTGCTTGATTCAAAAATCGTACGACTCATACAGCAATCGCTATCACTTGACTTAAAATATTTTTGCCCTTTCTTGACTTTAAAGAAGTGCTTTTTGCTGTGCTGATGTTGCTACATGCCTTACTTCTTGCCTATCTCACACTGCGTATTTTTTCTAAGCTCTATACTAAACATTAAATCTGTTACGAAAAAAGAACCAAACAAAATGAACACAAAACGATCAGCTTTAAAAAAGGTCTTGTAACTGAAAAAACCGAATGAAAAAAGAATGTTAACAACAAATACTTTTTCACACCCAACCCAGTTCTGCGGAATCAGAATCAACGTTGAGTTTAAGCAAGCGAATGAGCCAATTGGAGTAAAATGCCATGCAGATTTAAATTTTTCCCACTTGTGACGAATGCAGCTATCGATTTTTTTGCATGCTAGCATGCTAGTTAACATTTGTGTCAGTCAGTTGTTGGCTCTCACGCTGGCCAGTAGAATCTTCCTGTCTATTCGTAGCAGCCAGCTATATGCTCTCACTCTGGCCAGTAGAAAATGGCTGCAAACTACATGAAAATTGCCGTAGAAGCATGAAAAATCGATTACTTCCACTATCTATGGGAGTTGGGAAATGCAAAGCCGGTCTTGGCCTTTCCGCTAATTTGGAGCATGTACATGTAAACTTTGGTGTAAATCCGTCGAAAATTGCGTCCGTGCATTCGTTACACACACACACACACACACACATCCTGCCTTTTATAGATAGAGATTCTGATGTTTCAAAACGGAAGTTAAAGAGGAACCCGACTGAAAAGCATTCAAATACTTTCAGGTATCTAAGAAGAGTTAAGAACATAGAAAGATACTGTTACGTTTCCTGTTGCCGCTGGATTCAAATCTTCAGATTCCAACGCTACATAATAGACTGCATCGATCGACGTTTATTTTTTGATCGCGGTTTCTTATATGTGTGTCAGTAGCAGCATCGATTCTAGGAGGAATCTGCCACCGTTGTAGCTGTCGCTGCCGTTGTAGCTCTTCCTCTCCCTTCCTCGCGATCACCCGCACCTCTTTTTCGCTCGGCATCATATGTCGCGTGCGCTTCGGCGTGACGCTCACATCCACATGACCGGCACCGCCTACGGGGTTCAAAGAAACGCCACTTATTTCGGGTCGTTAGAGTTCTGACCAGTTGACATTCTGGGCCAGCCTACAAATTCTGTAACAATATCGGGCTTACAGCCACATCACGTTGAAACAGCGATTCTCGTACAGTCGCCGAAATTAAATAGCCTTGAGCTCGGGTAACCGCTTGGATATACCCGGTGCAGTAAGATTGGATGTGTGTGTGTGGTGTAATGGATAATGGCTCGGAAATTGTTAATAGGAGACCCGAGTTACAATTCCAGTTGCGTTCGTTATATCACTTACGCGTAAATACTGTTGGAAAAGGTATCAATCCACCTCCGGTCAGTCGTCGCAACCCATTCCCGGCGTGCAGGTCGACGCGCGGTGTCCGTAGGCGGGAGGCGCACTCTAAACTCTACCTTCACTTCCGTATGTCGGCAGAGGCGTCTTCTGTCGGGCCCAGGAGCGTACTGCCCCTTCTGCCGGGGACGGAGGAAACGAAAACGTGATCCGTTACATGTCCACGGCGTGTGGCGGTCGTCTACGAGACCGTCAGTCGCGTAGCGTTGGTGAGCAGTCAAACAGAAAAGCTCGAAGTCAAAGAACTGCCTGGCGACTCTGTGCACAATCCGACAGTCCTCGTGCGCGCAGGCCGTCCTCGGTATTCGCTAAATTTTAGTCGTCACATCCTGGTTTACTTTAATTTTTCCATTTTTTTTTTTTACTGATGTTCATCAACACAAGATCTAAGATGTACATAAGGTAAAGGGTTACTGAATGAGTTCGTTGAAAGTAGATAACACTTGACCCAAGGCTTGAAGGGTTTAAGATTTTAGTAATTGGGGAATCATCTTTGGAACCAAGTAAGAGATCTTCGGAAGAAGCTGTCCGAATGGAACTGGAATATGGAATACAAAGGGAATGAGGATGATTCAACTCTGTGTACATGGCGCGACAGGGTTTGCTGTAAAGGTCTGAACTAAAGAATATATCTCGCCAGAACATTTGCCATAGATATAGCGATATAAGAAATATGGGTGTGGAAGGCGTCTTGTTGATCTTTCTAATTATTGTGTTAAATAAGAGTTGCAGACTATTATTTTTTAGTGGCAGTGTATTTGTCTCAGACCTTCTGAGGCTGACCTTGGGGTCAGCTGGTAGACAAAATAGGGATCTCGATTTTGATTGGCTTAGCCCAACGTGGGAATGTTAGATTTAGAAAGTGTTTTCGAGGAGTTAAGTTTTACACGCCATACAGATTAGACATGATTATTTCATGTCCCGAGGAACTTGCTCCCCAGTGGGACTGAGAGAGCGACCCCACCGGCTAGTTAAAAATGTACACGTCGACGTGTTAATAAAATAAATAAGTTTAAAAAACAAAACAACTAATGATCACCCGGCCGACAACATCTGCAGTCGTTTGAGCATCTTCACATCTTTTTGGTCTTACATCAAAACTAAAATGAAACAATCCATCACTGTTAGAATTCCACGCCTACGGGGGTTCAAACAAACGCCACTCATTTCGGGTCGTTAGAGTTCTGACCAGTTGACATTCTGGGCCAGCCTACAAATTCTGTAACAATATCGGGCTTACGGCCACATCACGTTAAAACAGCGATTCTCGCACAGTCGCCGAAATTAAGTAGCGTCGAACTCGGGTAACCGCTTGGGTATACCCGGTGCAGTAAGACTGGATGTGTGTGTGTGGTGTAATGGATAATGGCTCGGAATTGTTAATAGGAGATCCGAGTTACAATTCCAGTTGCGTTCGTTATATCACTTACGCGTAAATACTGTTGGAAAAGGCATGGATCCAGCTCTTCTCCCCCAGATACGGGATAATTAGTAAGATTTGCATCCCTAAATGATTATTAGGGATTTTACCATCTAAAAATATTTTCCGGTTTTAAATAGCCTGCAAAGGGTTGATAAGCCGTAGAAAACGAATCAGTCAATCAATCAAATACTGATTAGCTACACAGGTATGTCTTTTAGATTTATTTATATTTTCTGGAATATAAATATATAGAAACTACCGTAGTCACAAAGTGAGGGATCAGTTTATATAGTGATTGTAATGTATAATTGATCCCCCACTTCATATCCACATCATCATTTCTTGTTTGTTTATCAAATTCTGATTAAGTATGAATCCACCGCTTCCCCCAGCTATGGGTTAATTAGTAAGACTTTTTATCGTTAAATCATTATATAAAAAATATCACAATTTAAAAATATTTCCTGGCTTTAAATAACCTGAGACGGGTTGATAAGCCATAAAAACGTAATCAATCAAAACAGTAATAATACTAACTGTTGAGCGTTGCATTCACTTTAATGGCATACAGGAGAGATTGTGTGATTATTTGTGAGTGAATGAGAAAACGAAAATACTTACTGCCTAAGGATTGAAATAGCCTGGAGGATTAAAACAGTGATGCGTGAATTTGGTAATTAGTTGTGAGTTCAATCCCTGAGCAAGGTAGTACAGACTCGGTGAAAACAGGGTTAGAAATATAAAATAAAAGGAAAAGACGTGGCATGGACAGCAGGACGAGTAATATAGATTCCCCGTTGATTAATTAAAAAGTTCAGTTTGAAATTCCCTGAACGTTAAGCGTATTGACAGACACCGGAAGAAGGCCGAAAGCCACAAGGGTTGAAACATTGGTATAAAAACAACAAAGATGAGGACAGCAAAATATAAATCCGCGCGCTGGATCATTTTTTTCAAATATCTCCATTTCTGAAAGAATTACTTCTTTCCCAAGCTATTATAGACGACTATAAAAATGTTAAAATATTAAAAGAAAACGGTTAAAATGATAACCTCATGTTATTTAAAATTCCTCATAACTTTCACCAAGCAAGGCAGGAGAGCCACTGGCACGCAAGGGGTTACAGAAAGTGAGAGTACGAGTAACGAGGAGTGTTTGAGAAAAGGATAAAGAGAAGGACAGGGATCAAGGCATCGGAAGATGTCGATTGACATTACATTTGAATATTTGAAGATTATAGCTATCAGGGAAGCAAGTGATAGGAAGGGAGTTCCACTGACGGAAGGTGCGAGTTAAGAAGCTGTTGGAGTATAAGAGATGGCTACATTTAGTCGTTTCGGCAGTGAAAGGGTGTGACCAAGATGCTAACCTAGTAGCACGCTTAAATTCATGCAATTTGCGAACCAGTGAAAGTACCTCGTCGGAGCAGTTGCCATGAAAATACTTGTAGGAAAGACAGAGGGAAGCCACAGCATGTCTGTGAGAGTGACTGCAGACGGGAGGCCAGATCAGAACCAATGACGTTCCATATCCGTCTCTGGATTTTGTCGAGGACATTGCTCGAGTTGAACAGCAGGAGCACCAGACTACATATGGCAGCAGTATTCTATGCAAGGATGAATGGCTGATTTGTAGATTTGAAGCATAGACTCAAGCGAAAAAAACCTTCTGGCGCGATACAGAGAACCAGCTTTCCTTGAGATAGATAAAGCTATAGATTCAATGTAGTTGTTCCACTTGTCCAGGTCAGTGGACAGCGTGAGACCAAGCAGGCGCAGAGAGGCGCTCTCGTGGAGTTAGGCATCAGCCATCCTGATGGGAAAAAAGAGGGTTCTCTGTGATGGGTAAATGAGAGCAGTTTCGTTTTAGAGGCATTAAAATTTACAAGCCATTTCCTGCTCCTGTCAACCACAGATTGGACGTCCTTCTCGAGGCCTACGGCCAGCTTAGTTTTGTCAGCAATGCCGAATTTACTATTGAGGCAGGAGTAAATAGTAGTGTCGTCAGCGTAGATCCCAACTTGGGAGTTGAAGACATCAGGAAGATCGTTGATGAAGGTCAGAAACAGTGTAGGACCCAGAATAGAGCCTTGGGGAACACCAGCGTTCGTGTTATAGGAACTGGAGGAGAACCCGTTTAGGACGACCTTCATTTCACAGTTTGATTGGAATTATTTCATTAAGTTAAATAATCGTCCTGCCATGTCGTATCCTTGAAGCTTACGAAGAAGGCCAGTGTGCCAGACCCTATTAAACGCTTTAAAGATATGTAAGGCTACGGTTCGAACTTCTCCGTTATTGTCAAGTGCTTGGTATATAAATTCACTTATGGTTGTGAGCACATCAGCGGTGGACCGGGCATATCAGAAACCATATTGCTTGTCTGAGAGCAGATTATGGGATGTAAGATGCTTAACCATTTCGGCGTTGATTAAAGCCTCGAAGGCTTTGCCGAACAGTTGTAGGAGATCTAGACTTTTCAGCGAACTTGATGAATATGAGCGTTTCTTAAATTTAAAATTTTTTTAAAACTATCATTTTTTGCTCTTGTCTATAAATCTTCTTTTATGTGACGTATCACTTCAGGCCGTAAATGTTCATGGCCCTCCACACCCTTCTGTCCCTTGTAGCTCTTAATAAGTTTTATCTTTTTGTTATTTCTCCCCAAACCCTGTTCTGTCATACATTTTGCTCAAGCTCATTAAGTATATCACACGTTGCTCTCCCCTGTTCCTCTTCCCCTCTATCCACCCTTTGAATATTAGATTTTTCAGCCCTCCTCTTTTCTCATTACGTATCCCAGAAATTTCAGTTGCCTCTTCCTGATGTTCAGTGTAAGTTTCCTCTTTATTTGCGTTCTCTCCAAAACCTCGTCGTTGCTCGCATGTTCGGTCCATGGTATCCTTAGCATCCTTCCACACTTCTGTCTATAAATACTTGTTACAAAATAAAATCCTTGCATTTGCCTTGTAATTGTTCGTGTGATTGGTCGAATGACTGGTTGTAATTTATCTAAGTACCGCATCATTTTGTTTAGTTAACACCATTTTGTTTTGTTTCTTGTATATATATTATGCTTATTGTAAATATTCATTGGAGTTTTCATTTTTAAATGTTGTTATTTTATTCCTCACATCCCACAGACAAATTGTACATATGGAGACTAGTTAGGACTTCATAGAAACATTTAAGTATTATGCTGATTATTATAAGTATGGTAGATAAGAATGTGGTATTCTGGTGCAAGGAATATTGAATATAATAGTTTTTTTGGTCAGTGATTGTGGCTAGCTTCGTTTAAGATAAGACAGATTGATAACAAGCCTTCTCGATCACGCTTTTTGTTTTTAACAGAAGTAAATATTATTTGCCTTAATAAGGTCCCCCAGATGACGAAACGCTTCAGCTAAGATAAACTTTCCTTTTATCTTTATTCTTGTCCTTTTACATATATAGTCTAGCTGAAATTTTACACATTTGTCCGAATAAAAATAAAATATAACTTTATCAAGGTACCCAATTTTTCAAATATACAAAGATCTTCAGCAATATTTTCATTTATGCCTTTTTTTTTAAATGACTAATTTCATTTTTTACGCAAAATTTTGAACAGTTGTTAAAGTTTGCCCAATGGCGACCTGGAACTGTAAAAGTCAGTTCAGTTTCACAAATTGCTCCTTCTTGAACATTTTTACATACTTGAAAACCTTTTCGATATCTTATTAAAACTGTTAGGATTTTTTAGATATTTTTGGACACTGAATGACCATTGTATGGCTATTACTTAACCAATATTGTCAATGTACGTCATTTTAAATATATATTTGCCAATTAGTATTACTGCATTTTGCACTTTCACGAATTCGGCCTTTCAACCCCACTAGC